TTTATTAGAGGTTTTTTTTGTTATTGTTTCCTTTTTCCTCTCTCTTTCTCTCTTAGACTGAGCTTTTTAAGGGAAAGGTTCATATCATTTATTACCATAATTCCAGTGCTTTTAATAGGGTCTGGCATAAAAGATAGTAAATAAAATGTTGTAAATAAAATGTTGTGAATTAATCAACAAATTATTTTTTAAATAAGTAGTACTGATTTACAAAGGTTTCTCTACACTTCAGCCCAGTAATGTACTGAAGAGGAGTCTGTGGCTTTTAAACACCAACCCAAAGTTGAACAAAGACTGAATTCCCTCTATTTTTATATTGTTTCTCTAGTTAGAGTTCAGAGGTAGTATCTTTAAAAAGGGAGGATCAGGATTTCAAGTCACATGTTGTCTTTTGTCCATAGCTCCTCACTTTTGAGAGGCAAAACTCTCTTCCTATATTCTGACTGTGCTCTGAGGGGGACCTAGGTTTGAATTATCTACTCTTCTGTTCACAGAGCTTTAAGAATATTCTTCACTTGCAACTGTTATCGGTGTCAAGTTTTGACTAATTGAAATACGACCAAGCAGTTTTTTAATACAACTCTTTAAATTTTCTGGAAGAAAATAAAGCTTGGGGAAAAAAAGAGGAGAAAAGCATAAAAAGCTGTTAGTGATGAAAATAGGAACTTAAAATAGAAGTGTAATCTCAAGTACAAGTATAGGTTTGCAGTAACAAATGATGCCAAATTCCTAAAATAATAAAAAAACTTAAAGTTAAAAAATAAAGTGCAATCCAAATAATCAATCAGACTTAAAAACTTGAGGCCAAAAACCTTAATCTGACTTTCTTTGGCCTTGGGCAAATTAGAGATAGCCAAGAGTTTTTTTTATCATAAATTGTCAGTAATAGCAAATTACCTCTTGGGGTGTGGTTAGAATTTCTCGAGGCCTGTAAAGCATTTTGAAGACAAAAATCCTACGACTAGACAAATTGCTCTTCTTGCACTGGTGTGTACTTAGCTTCCTAAGTCTGTCCTGGTCAGTTTGGATGTCATTCATTCTGTAGGTTGGTAGGCCCATTATATAAAATAGCAGGAATTGGTGATAAACAGCTTTCAAAAGATAGGCTATAGTTAAAATGGAAGCATTATTATTTATTTATCTATGACACCTTAAGTATATTTTGAAATATTTAAGAGGATGAAAATAGAAGGCATATTGAAAATTCTTACAACCCTTCAAAGCATTATGCTCAAGGTTATATTTGAGCCTCTCTTTGTATTTATTTTTCTTATTTATAATTTATTCAATCTGTTGGATGATGAGATATTTAATTCAGTTCTTTCTGATTTTTCCATTTGCTATGTCGAACAGCAGCACATGCTGCTGGAAAAGATAAAAAGTAAAAATTATCCTTTCACGCAGGCATTTTTCTCCAATTAAAATATAAAGAGTTACACAATACTTATGTTTGCCAAGAGGACTGAGTTCCAGAAAGGAATTTTAACATCTGACCAAATCCACACTTGTATACTTTTCTGTCAATGCCAAGTCACCTACAAATGGTCTTTAGTAGCCATCATTCTATATAGCAGGAATTTTTAGATTCCTTTTTATACTTTATTGTTAATTTTTAATTACTATTAAAGCTAATGTTATAATGTCCATAAAAAAGAAAAAACTCAGTCTTAACACTCAAACAGAGTTGTGGAAAAACAGGAATGTGCAAATAATAAAAATAGGAATTTAAAAAAATTAAAAAAAAGAATTCATAAATATAACACTATGTGGAAAAATGAAAAGTTTCTTAATTTTTCAAAAATACATTTTATTTATTTAATTTTATTAAAAATATTTTTATTGGAGTATAGTTGCTTTAGAATGTTGTGTTAGCCTCCACTGCACAACAAAATGAATCAGCCATACACATACAGATATCCCCTCCCCGTTGGACTTCCCTCCCATTTAGGTCACCACAGTGCATTAAGTAGAGTTCCCTGTGCTATACAGTATGTTCCCATCAGTTGTCTATTTTATACATAGTATCAGTAATGTATACATGTCAATCTCAGTCTCCCAATTCCCCCCTCCCCACCCCTTTCCCCCTTGGTATCCATACATTTGTTCTCTACCTCTGTGTCTCTATTTCTGCTTTGCATGTAAGATGATCTATACCATTTTTCTAGATTCCACATATATGCATTATTATACGATATTTGCTTTTCTCTTTCTGACTTACTTCACTCTGTATGACACTCTTTACGTCCATCCATGTCTCTACAAATGACCCAATTTCATTCCAAAAATACATTTTAAGTAAGCACTTAAGTCTGCATTATGGTTTTACTTATGTATGTAATATATTTTATAAAACCTAAAAAAAATTAGGAGGACAACAGTGTTTAAAAGATGTTCTTGATTACTTTGTTTATGAATCTAACATTTTTGTGGTTTATACATCTGTGAAACCCTTAACAGGTATATTATCTGTGCTCTTGTTTTCACATTACTCATTGCCATTTACAGATGAGCATTGGTCACCTCTATTCTTTCTCTTCTGAGAAACACATTAATTCACTACAACAGTATACCCGTAAAACTGTAATGATTAATTGAAGTCCACAGCTTTAGTTTTACAATACTCTTTGGCCTAAATATGCAAGAAGATTTTGAAATGGTTCATATTTATATTTTCTCTCTGACATGGATGGGCACAGGCAAGATTTATTGATCTTAGGTGTTATTACTATTTATAAGTTAAATTTTCTTATTTGATTTGCTAGATCCTAAAAGAAACATTAAGAAGGAGTGAGTAGGAGCTTAAAGAAATAGCAACATTTTTACCTCATGGCGTTTTTCTCCATAGTCCATGAAAGACAAGATTGGGGAAAATTAGTCTTCATGCAGCTTAAGAGCCTTTATATTAAAGATAGTAACATTTAGGAGCAGAATACAAGCAAAATAAGCTGTCGCTCCAAATGAGAAATTTTAGGTTAATTTTCAGAAAGGATTTCTATTGTTGAATCTTAATAAAATTGAGAATTAGTCTTTAGGGCATGATATAATATTGTTTTTAAAAGATTTTTTTTCTATTTGTAATTGGTAAAAAGTTACATTGTCTTGAGTAAATATTAGGATGTGAGGTAATTATCTATATTTTCCCAGCTTTCATATATTATCTTTTCCATGTAGCTTTTCTGATGGAAAGCTCTTCATAAAACCCTACCTCACAGACAAACCAAATTGTATTTAGCATTTTTGCTTGATTTTTTGTGAATGTGGCATTAAAATGTCGGTTGAAAAAAGCTATTTGTCAAATAAAAGCACACTGTACTGGCATATAAAAGGGACAAAGATATTACGACACCACGCTTCATGGAACTCATTAATATGTATGTAAACCAGGAACAAAAATATATAAAGGAGAACGCAGGGGCCTGGTTAAAACTGAGTAAAACGAATATTAAATGCATAAAAGAACAAGTATCATCTTCGCTAAGAATCATTTGAGCAAATACTTGCTCTTGCTTTGGACGCTTATGTCGGCTCCCAATGGTTGGTCAAAGAAAATTTTCCATAACAAACAATGATACAATTCAAACTCAAGAGTTTATGACTATACATTTTTTACATCTGGTAACACGTAGGGTTTGAAGATCATTAATGCTTGTGAAAATAGACAAATGCAATCTGGAATCTGAAGAATTAATTTAAAATACTCAGGAGTCCATAAAATATTCTGTGGTAGTGCAGGACATGGTTTTCTATATGCTCATGGTTTTTCAATGCTCATCTATAAGCACAAGTCATGCGCAGGTGTCTTTCAGGAAAAGAAAGAAATCTTTGAGGATCCCTCAGTGGGGCTTGAAGACCCTGTTTGAGAAATCATGACTTAACAACTGAAATTATATTATATTAAAATATTTTTCTTGTTTGATCACTGCCAAGTAGCTGTTTTGTATTCATAAGTGGTAATACGTATACACTTTAAAATTATTATTGAAATGAAAGGACAGGATTTTTTTAAAAAGTCTCATGGACCCTCAAGAAAACTTGTTACTAGGGTCCCCAATGTAACAAACCTGAAATAGTTTAAAAAAAGGTGAGATTTGGAATTACATAGGCCTAAATTCAATTCCTAGATCTTGCCCTTATTAACTCTGAAAATCATTCAGTCTCCCTGGACCTCTCCTCCTCAATCTGTAAAAATGACACATTCCTTATAACATTGTATTTTTAGAACAAATGGGATAATGTGGGTAAAACTCCTTAGTACAGAGGTTGATACGATACATACAGTCTCCTTGTCTTTATTGTACTAATGTAATGATGGTCAGAAATGCTTTGGATACAGTAGGAGGAAAATAACTTGTCCATGTGCAATGAACACATTCAGACAGAGGGCCCTTTTTTCCTATGAGGCATTTATTTGTTGGGTGATGTTTATAAGGTTTTTAAAACGGAATATTATTAAAACCAGAAAATAATTCCAGAGCACAACTAGCACTCTTGAGCTCTGGAAGAATTTATCTTCTTCACATATGTGAACAATTTATCGCTAGAGTATGTTTTCTTTTCACCCTCCATCACCAAAGGATTATGCCCAATTATAATTAATTCTTTAATAATGAAATTGATACCATTTTCAAGCATTTAGACCAGATAGTAGATTAGAGTACACTATAAAATATGCTTCTGAGTAATTATGACCTAATTAATTATTTTAGACAGCTTTTAAAAGTTTGATTTACTAATTAGACTCTCTGAAATTGAAAGCAGGAAATAGAGCTGTCTAGGTCACCAGAGGCTTCATCCCGTTTGGCACAAAACCAGAGTAAAAGTTGACTTAATTTGCACCGTTCTGCATGGTTGGGTTTGACAAGTGTGTTTAGGTTTCATAAAATAATCAAAGGTCATTGGTGGCTTGGCTTTTTGCAACTACAACCCAAATTAATAAGAATGAAATCCAAAGCCTGGCAGGGGCTCTAAGAATGATGTGAAGTCTTGCCTTCCTCTTTCAGACTTGCCTCATGGGTGTGTCGTGGTGGAAATCAAAGTGTAAAGGCAATAATGCCAAATGATGACACTCAACCCTGAAATAGGCAGGTACGTAACATATTCTACATCAGTTTGTACTTGGTGTGTGTGGTCATGAACAAATATATTCTCCGAGTCTCAGTTTGTAGCCCAGGGCAGTTTGATCCTAGAGGAGGATGTAGGCTAGCATAAAGAATTGGGGAAGTTTACGTGAACCTTTAGCCCAAGACCTGGTGCCCACATCCTTACTTCTCCTCTCTGCCTTTCTACACCACTGAGCATGAAAGTACAGCTGGTATTTGACGTTTTACCTGGAAACCCCAACAAGTCTATATTACAAGGTCTCCTTACAAACTAACTGCTAGAGAGAATCATCTGGGGCCTTGCTTGGGTTCATACCTTGTTAGTTATTTGCTTCAAAGTTCACATAAAGCCATTCAGAACACTATGGTTTTTATATGATCTTAAAATTATAAGAAATTTTTTCCAAGTAAAAGCTTAAAGGTTAAAATTTTAAAAAATGACTTAGAACTGACTCTTAAAAATGCCTGTGTATCAATATAGTTTCCTAATACTTTTAATATTCAAATGGCATTGAAATGCGTATTTCCAAATTCCAATTCCACAGTTCCATGACTCTATTTTTCTACTTAATACAGGAAGCAGAATTTAAAGTCAACTATGAGAATTCAGTACACATAAGAACTCTAGTTTTGTAGGAGGGACATCTGAACAAATAGTCATGAGCTAGATGATTTTAATTCCATACAACTACCTTTAACCAACATCTATAACATTATCCTCTTCTTAACACTTCGAAGAATTTTTTTAAATGCTTTCTTTTAAAAAAGCATGTTGATTTTTACAAACTGGGTGAATCTCACAATTTAACTAGCTTGTCATAGCAGAAGCGTTTCTCCAGTGCACGGATATATGATCTAAAATCATACTCAACAGACTGCCTTGAGGAAATATATACGTAACACTTACTTTGTGTGTATTTCTGAACTACCTTTGAAAGTTTTAAAGTTTTATTCAGATTTCAGAGACAGATTAATGTGGACTAAGTAGTCTTTATTAATATTTCTTAGGACACTGAAAGGTGATCAGATCTAGTAGATTATATGAGGGAAATCAACCAAACCAAGAGCAGCTAGAAATCTTTATAACAAAGGTAAAATTACGCCTCGCCCTTCTCCATTTTTTTTTTTTTTAGAGCATCTTTTATGCACCAGGCATTGTATTAGGTGTGTTACAAAGTTATTTCACTTATTCCTCATTAGGCCAGTGTTATTATTCCCACTGTACGAATTCAGCATTAGATAAGTACATTCCACGATATTTAATTCAAGGGAATGCAATATTGCTCGTAACTCCTTGGCACTGACTCTGCTGCCTCACGCTAGATGGTCACTGAATTTGCTTTAGGAACCAAAAGATATCTGAAGCATATAGACTATAAATTTAAGATTTTCTGGAATGATACTGTACAGCAGTATATAAAGGTGCAGCACAGCAAAGACAGTGGAGCTTTACAGATCTGGTCGCACGGCCAGTCCTAGGCAACTGTGAGCCCTGCCCTCCCCATCCTTGCCCCCAGAGCACTGAGGACCAAGGGAAGCCACTATGAGATATGGGAGCATAACTTTGTTGTGTCTGTGTGTGCTTGTGAGCAAATGAGCAAGTGTGTAGTCTGTGCTTTTGTGTGTGTGGATGATACATCTGAGGCGGAGTCTGTGCATGTGTGTACATCTGTGTGTGTGGTCAGTATATCACATGTGTGGGTGATGCGTGCGTGTACGTGGCTGTGCATATGTGTGGTCTTTTCCCTCCAACCCATATCTCTTTTTCTATCTTGTGAATAACTACTTTGTTCTTTTATAATTTTTGCAACCCTTGATCTTTTTACTCTTCCCTTCTCCCCTCTTTCTTTTCCATCTTTTTCAATTTTCTGCTCATTACTAATTGAAACCATAAGATAATGAACAGATGAAAAATTCAAACCAGTTCACACAGCATCTTCTACGCCTATAAATGCACAAAGACTAATAAATATTCCTTTCTCATTGTGTAATATTTGCCTGACCTATAGATTTCAATAGATACTGGGGTACATGTTGGTCAGATCTGATTTAGAAGTCAGGAAGTGATTATAATACATTTCAAGGTACTATTCAAAAATCATACTTGATTTTCTTTTTCTCAAGGTTGTTTATTTTTCTGTTTAATCTTCTTGCCTTCCGTGACTGCTAACTAACTATTGCTCCTGGGATATTTGTTTTTGAGTAGCAGAGAGATAGACAGGAAGAAAAATAAAACATCGGCTTTTTATTTAATAAATACATTGTCTGCCCACAAGTATAGCAAGAATTGGAATCAAGTCTCAATCATTAAGCGGAGCAATGTGTCTTATGATCAACACTCTATCCGTGAGTTTCTAGTTGTTGGAATGTATGAAGAGCAGTAGAATGGTAGCATGCAGCCCCTCAAGGCCTAGAAGTGCTAGAAAAATCAGGAGTTTTCTTAGGATTGATGAGGCAGTGCTGAGAAATTTTAAAAAGGAGAAAGTAAAGCTACAGAGCGCCTGAGCAGGAGAATGAATAGTAAATGGTGTTTCCTTGGGGAGTAGTTAGTTCCTATTAGGAGCACTGGTATCAATTAGCATAATCAGTCTCACAGAGACCAAGAAAGAAAACACACTCACCCTCACACTTGTATATGGTGGATTTTGCATTATTTAGGAATATTTTAATGCAGTAATTTGTAGATTGGGAGATAAAATTCTTTTGCCTTCTTATTTTATTTGTTACATTATAAAAACATATAAAATTGTCTGTTTCTAAAATTTGTTAGCTAAGGAGTGAACAAAGACCTTGTCATAATAAAAGTGGAAATGGTAATAAGAAAAAATAAACTTCCAAAATAGTGGGAAAACAAATTATAAGATCTGACTTCTAGTCCTACATAAAACTCATTTCCCTCATCCCCATTGTGAGTTCTGAATGACTCTGAAATATTTATTTTTTCAAATAAATGTCTTTGCTGAAAAAACTGTTTTATATGAAAAACTACGTGATAGATTAAATCATTACATTGTTTTTTTATATCTTCCGCCTTCCTTCCTTCCCCTTCCCTCCCTCCGTCTCTTTTTCCTCTCTCTCATTCCTCCCTTCCCTACCTTCTTCATTCCCTTTCTTCTAATAAATATTCCTTGAGGCTAACCCTCAGAACTAGCACAGGGTCTGGTGCTGTAGACTCCTCTGCTGTGTGCTGGGCATTGTGCTCAAAGTGCTGGACTGCTCTCTGGTATGATGGGGGTGAGGCGGTGGCAAGGTTACCCTACTGATGGCTGACTCTGTTCCCATCCAGCAGATCCGAGCAGTGCTGTGGTAGATGCTCTGGGGATATAGATGAGACGGAGAAACTCAGCATAGGAGGAGGTTAGGTCAGGAAAAGTGGGGACAAACTCTCAAGCCAAAGCTCTGGTGTTTGAAAGAATAGGGAACTTTCTGAAATGATGAGTAGGGTGGTTTCGTGGTCCATGGGGGATGGGAGATAACAGGTGGCTTTAATTGTTTTATTTTTTCTTCTATTTAAACTTTTTTATTTGTTGTTCCCATTACCCAATTGGTATTTTCCACCCTAAGTTATGTCAGAGAATCTAAGGTCATTGAGTTTTGGAACTACTAGTGATGAGACAGAAATGTACTTAGTATCGATTTTCCTGTAACCTTATCCTTGTGTAATACAGTAAGGTGTCCTTTCTCTCTCTGTGCACTTGTCTATTTCCTCCCCCTCTTCCCTATGTCTATTCATGTATATGAATGAATAGGATGCTTTAGTACATATGAAGATATGGGAACAGTCTGCAGAGACTGGAACGTCTTTAAATGGCAAGGATGCTGTGGGCTGGGATCTTGGTAGGAGACAGTAAAAAATAGCAGCTATGTATATAATTTTTACACAGATTTCTTGGGCAGAGAATTATGGTCTCGAAAACACTATTATGCTTCTGCTTTAGGCAGCTGTTGTCTGGGTAAGCATAATGCCCCGAATTCTTCAAGGGTATCAACAGGCAAGTTCTCCAGCTGCCTTCTCCACTGATAAACTAGCAGTGGTAGAAACGAAGCTATTATTTCAAATGATGCTAACCTAACAAAGGGTGATATTTCAGCCCAAGGAAATTCATAATCCATTTCAGAATCTGGAGCCTTAAAATGGTCTTACAGAGACTAAGACGAAATAGAAAGTACAGATACCAGTTTTGTGAGGTTAAAAGAGGTACCGTATGTGAACTGCCATGCAAACTGTGAAGTGCTCTACAAATCCAAACACTATTCATTACTATCATTTTAGATACTAAAAGTCAAGCATGATTAGAGAGAGAGTAGTGATTATTATTATCTTGGGCAAGTGACTTGATCTCTCAGAGTCTTAGTTTCCTCATCTGTAAATGGGGCAATGATAACCTACCTTGTAGAGTTGTCAAAATTATAGATAACATGTAAAAATTGCTATGCACAGAGCTTGGCAAGTGGTAGGCATTCATTAAATGATTGATAGTTATTTTTATTATAACAGACATTTCTAACCATCCACAATTTCAGAAGAATCGAAAAATAGGTTTCTTTTAAAATTACTAACAAAATATGTACTTGCAATTCAATATACTGTGGATTCCAGGTGTCCAAAAAAATAAGAAAACACCTATGACTTTATATATCAAGTTTCACTCATCATGGGGGATTTCTAAGAATGAAGTTTAAAGAATAAAACAGGGAGAAGAAAAAAGAATGACAGAGAAAACGCAACCCTGTAATGGCAACAGCCTAGGACAAGTGGGTGATTTCAGAATGAGAATAAGCACACACCACCCCGTGACTCAGGGCTGCTCCAACTTCATGCACAGTGGGGAACCTTCTATGCCCTTCAATATCAAACTGTACATGCAAGTTATTTGTAACAGAACATTGAAAAGTCAATGAAGGCAAACCTTGTAGGCAGCTACTGTCAGAAAACATCTGAATCAGTAGGACACTATCAGAATTGTCTTTTCCAAGCAAAACACA